GGGAGAAATATTGGTGCACCAACCACTTAAGCATCCTCACCTCGATCCACATTGTCAAAATAGCAAATGATGTATCATTCTCTACACATTACTTGTACAGTTTATGCCATTATTCAATGTTTAATTATTGTTACACTACGAAGGATAATTTATTTCGAAGACACATTTTGCTTTTTCAGCTACATTCATTGTCATTCTTTGTGCTGGATGAGGCTGACCGCATGATAGAAGCTGGGCACTTCCAGCAGTTGCAGTCCATAATTGATATGCTTCCCATGTCCAGCGGATCAATTAATGGGCATTCTTCAGAAACACAGAATGGCACAACTGTTTCAAGTGTTCAAAGAAAGAAAAGGCAAACTTTTGTCTTTTCTGCAACCCTTGCCCTATCTGCCGATTTTCGGAAAAAACTAAAGCACAGTTCAAAAAAGGCAAAGTTTGATGGCGAGCTAAATTCATTTGAAACGCTTTCAGAGAGAGTCGGAATGCGAGAAAATGTTGCTATAGTTGACCTAACTAATGCATCAATAATGGCAAATAAACTTATGGAGTCGCTCATTGAGTAAGTGATATTTTTTGGTGCTGCTTGCCGTTTGCATGGCATGATCACAGTAATGAATAGGAGAAAAATGACTATTCTAGCTATGCATTGAATTTCATCCAGCAATTGACCATGTTTTCAAGATGCCATTGCCTTTGCGCTCATTTTTAAGTGTTGGTCAATGGAGTGCCTTGCAAATTTTATCTTGACCGCCTTGTACTTAATTGTTGTCTAAGAAGTTTTACTAATTATCTGTTTACTTTTAAAGTTGCTCGTGAGTCGTGATACACGCAGTGAAAAGCCATTATATACACCAAGGATCTGAAAATTTTCCCCTACAGTTTAAACCATTATGCTCCCGCATCTTCCAAAAATTGTTTCCATATAATTGGCTGATCATAGAAGATATGAAATCTTGGTGCAGGTGCACGGAAGAAGATAAAGATGGATATCTTTATTATATCTTGAGTGTTCATGGGAAAGGACGCACAATTGTTTTCTGTACATCTGTTGCTGCATTAAGGCATCTTGCCTCAACACTGCGCATTCTTGGTCTCAATGTTTCAACACTTCATGCCAAGATGCAGATGCAAGCACGACTTAAGGTTGGCTCTTTCAAGTAGAAATATTTGGTTTGACCAACAAGAACAACAACCCAGTAGAATTCTGCATCAGGGAAATATTTGGTTTGACCTATTTACAAAATTGTGCTATCAGTTTAGGGCCTAGGATATTAAATTATTGAGTAACCATATCATCACGCACTCTGTGAGAGAGGGCCATAAAGTTAATAGTTCTTATATTTGTTTCTTTCAACTTTGCCTTTCCACTCTCCTTTTCCTTTGTTCGTAATGTAGACATAAAATGTACTCTGTAATCTTTTTGTTAATCTTTGGTGTTTGCTCTTACCCTTGAATAATACAGGCAATTGATCGTTTTCGCGTTGATGAAACTGGCATACTTATTGCTACAGATGTTGCAGCTAGAGGCATTGATATTCCCGGTGTTCGAACTGTTGTTCATTACCAGCTTCCACATTCAGCTGAGGTAAGCTTCCATTTGCTCTACGTATCTGCACCCCATACAGTTTTTAAATATTTATGAACTGGATTGTTGGGCTAGGTTTACGTTAATAGATGTGGAAGAACTGCCAGAGCTTTCTCAGACGGATGTAGTATTGCGCTAATCTCTCCAAATGATGCATCAAAGTTTGCTTCTCTATGCAAGTCGTTTGCAAGGGTAATTCTTTCTTGAAAAGTTGTATAATGTGTGTATTTTCTTCTAGTGTATTGAACTTGAGTCATAGATTACAGCCTTGCACTAGTTTACCAAAGTTGGATCCTATAAGGATTAACTATAGTTTTTCCCTGTCGAGAGAATCTTCTGAGAGATTTGTCATTTGTTGTTTTACAATAAAAAGAGTAGATGGATCACAGAGTAATATTTAAGTTTGCGTTTGGTTATATTTTTTTCTTATGCAAGTTCAGACTTTCTATTCTTGACTTTAACTGTATCCCTCAATTTATCTCATGCAAGTTCAGGCATTCTATTTTTTTTATTTTAATTGTATTCAATCTATGAGGCTTTTAGTTTTGTCAAGCAATAAAAAAAGAACTAAAATAAGTTGAAATATTTGGTAACGAGTGCTGCATTAATTGGGTCCAGGAAAGCTTCCAACGATTTCCTGTAGTGATGTCATACATGCCAGAGGTTGTGAAGCGATTATCCCTTGCCCATCAAATAGACAAATTTCTTAAGAAGGACTCTCAGGTGAGTGATATATTTTGGAGGTTCTTTATTGCAGAGTTCTTTCAATCTACCATGTTTTCAAGCCTCGTTGCTAGCATTTATTATGCATGCTGGCTTTTAATGCGTATTTACCCTGTCATATACGGAGTACTTATATTTAAAGCAGTCACCCTTATTTCAAAATTTTTAAATGCAGATTAAACCTGTATGTAGTTCTCTTATTGTTTCTATGACCAAGTTAACTCCCAAAGACTGAATTACTGGAGTTCATTGTAATCATAATACTGTAATCTTTAAGCCCCTGTTTTGTTCAGAGGGTGGAGGTATGGGAGGAGAAATGTGTGATGTGGGGGGGGGTTGAGGAAAATGGAAGCGTTCAAAAGGATGTCATGTTTGGTTCAAAGGAGGAGTGTTGAAGAATTATCATTTTAGGAAAGTACATCTTACTTCCGTCCTAGAGTATTTGTCCTGTTTTGACCTTTTGCCGTCGAAATTGATAAACTTTGACCATTAATTAAATAAACTTTAAATTACATATTGATATAAAGAATATTTTTATTAGATTATCTTTTAAAATATTTTCAAAATATTTATTTACCCAAATAATATAGCATGTATTTTTATTCAATTATAGGTCAAATGTTGACCGTAGTTGATTGAAAAAAGTTAAAACTCGACAAATACTTTGGCACAGAAGGAATAAAATATAATATTGAGTTAAATGCATATTAGTCTTTGTGGTCTTTCATATGTGGGTAAATAGTCGCCAAGCTTTCAAAAGTTGCAAAATAGTCCTTGTGGTCAAAGAACCATTTTAAACTCAATCCCTCTAATAGAGATTGTGAAATGTGCACAACACGCGCGTATTATGCAAAGATGTGAGTCATGTAACAATACAAGAAGCTAATATGATGTTTTATTTGTGAAGTGTAAGTTTGAACTTTGAACCTTAGTAAAATATCTTCCATCTTCTGGTTTAACTCTCACGTCTTCTTCATATCTTCAACAGTGATATTCTTGAATCCTAGAACTATATTCTATGTGAGCTCGACATTATTTGCTTTTCAAGTAGCTTTATTCTAGGGTAATAACTAATATGTGTGATTTAAGAGTTGGGAAAAGACCACTACTCACCTTTAACTACGAAGACCACTACTTCATCTTATTAACTTCTTTTTTGTTACATGCTTCACATTTTCACACAATACGCATGTCTTCTGCGTGCTTCACAGTTTCCTTAAAGGACTAATTATGCATCAATTTTTTGACCACATGAACTATTTTGCAATTTTTAGAAGTACAAGGACTATTTACCTAATTATGGAAGACCAAAGACCACCGGGACCATTTATGCATATAACTCTATAATATTTGATACTTGGAGTATTGCTGTAACAAACCATATACTAATAATTGAATTAACAATAACAATGTAGCACAATTTGGAATATAATGGTGTAACTAAGAACTATAACTCCTAAGTGAGATGTGCGTATGCTAGAAGAATGTATT